TATATACGTCCCACTGTTGGGCACAGGTCTCCTCTCATTTCTGAGATGGTTTTAGGGCAAGGAAGTGTCCGCCGCGCTGCCCCAATGCGTGTTGGCGAACTTCACATGTCTTCGAAATATTTTTTTCTTATTTTTTAGACATGCAGGTTTCCTCACGATGTTTTCCTTTACCGCCGAGCACTTGGTGAATCAGCACATAAAATTTCAATTAACAATTTCATTGGCGCCGGCGGGGATAGAACCCGGGTTGCTAGCGTACTGGGAAATTTACAGCGAGCGCTAACCATCTGAGCTACCACGGCTCAGATATAAAGAAGTAATTAAAATTAATTATTTAAGAAATGTGACGCCATTTTTTTTGTTAATTTGCCGCGGCAGATTTCTTTTTGCAGCAAAAAACTGAATAATTCGGCATTTTTGTAGGACGTCGATTCAGCCGCGCAACTAGATTTAGTCTAGTGAGCAATAAGCAGTGCAGCTGCTACTAGTTTTAATATACTCATAGGACCGCATGGATTTATACTTTGACAGAGGGGAACGCCCGCGTATGACTACTCCTCTCCAATCCGCTGGTGGCTCATGTTGCTCTATGCTTAAAGCACGTCAAATATATATGCATAAATTTGCAAATTATAATATATACTGATTTCATAATATAAGAATTTCGTATTGGATAAGATTTTGTCAATGTACTTTATAATTAACAGGACCAAGAAGATCAGGAACGAAAAGAGCGTGAAAAGATAGATGCTCGAGTATATGGTAACTGGAAGAAACTTATTAAAGGGTTGCTCATACGAGAGAGGCTCAAAATTAAATATGGTTTTGAAGACCCGGGCACTTCTCAAGGTAATAAGAACAAAACGAAAGGTCCACGTCTAGTTGTGAAAAAAACAAAGTGAAACTGTGAATGGATTGATTTTTATTAAGTGATATAAGGTACAAAAATCTTACATAATTTTACTTGTTAATTTTAGAATTACTATTTTATGTTTTAATAATCATAATAAACATTTGGGACGACTGTAAGAAAATATGCATCTTTAGTTGTACCAATACTTTTCAGCCGAGTTTACTAATTGCTACATAGTAGGTAATCTCATTCTATAATATTATAATCTATATGTATAATATTATGTGTTAAACGCATTTCAAACTGTGATATGTATAATGTATATTCTTAGTGAGATTTATTTTAAATTTTCACATCTCCGGTACAAATAAGGTTGTAACATAAAAACATCAAGCTGATTTTAGTAACTGATCTAGTAACTGTAGACATATTATATTATACCTATAACTATATCATTTGTATGGATATCAAATGTTGAACCTTTTTACACATACATGCCAGTTTTCTTTAATAAAATAAATACATTTAATACAACGCACCTTGGAGTATTATGTAATAAATATCCCCATATATAAATGAATATTACTTTTATTTTGCTTCCAATCAGTTCAGCCAGTATGGCACTAGTTCACCGTCCCATGTATAAATATTATTTTTAACTATAACTATGTATAACTTAGTCATGGGTAAAAAATGAATGCCTTCATCGTCACTTTAGATTACAATAAACAAACGATCAATTCATTAAAAGGTGTTGGAATGCATTGCTACACTGTAATTGACATCTTTCAGAATTTTTATTAAATTAATCTCTAGGACGAGTAACTACATAATACATAACTGCATATTTTTAACATGCTATCTATTTTTATTGGAGTTTAAGAAATCGACATATATTAGGTTGTCTTAAAAAGTTTGAGGTTAATCTAAAAGAGGAAAGAAATGAATTATTTCGAAAAAGTATTGAATTTCTAAGTATTAACATAATGTTTTTGCTAGAAATCTGCTAAGGCATAATAGCACATGAGTAAACAAACGGAACAGAGATAAAGCGTCATACAACCGCGCGAATCGGTTGCACTACTACAAGCACGCGGGGCATGTGTGCGTGACCACTGGCCGGTTGTCGCGTACGCGGCGAAACTGGAAAAAACCGGTTACGCTGGCACAGTCAGTGGACAACAATCTAAGGGTCAGTGCGACTGGAGGCGGGCAAAGTGTATCATTTTTGCGATTGGAACATTTGCATCTCGATCACTGAAATGTTCCGAAACATGATATGTTTCATTTGGCTCATTTGGATCATAGACTCAAAAGATATAAAATACAGAATGTTGCGTATACATTATGTTGTGTCGCGGGCGTCTATTACTGACTGATCAGTGAAATGTTATGTGGCAACAATGCTGAATAATAATAATATAAGTGCTTAGGTTATTTATTGTGTACCGTAATAAGATTGTATATAAAGTCGATCCTCCTTCATACTTTAACAAAAATGTTATTATGTCAATTCATTATTTACAAAAATGTCCATTTACACAAAAAAACAATGTCTATGTACACAGAATTTTCTCGTAAAGTCTCGTAACCCTAACTTTATGATGAAAAGGCGGAAAGTAAAAAGTAACTCACAATAATCACCACGCAAAGAAATCCTAAACAGAACTCAGTATGTTTTCGCAAACAGGCGCTAATGAACATAAACAATTTGACAAGTGCCGCATCAACGTAAAGTAACAACTTGTTAATGCAAACATTACATACAAAAAACGACCTTATAGTATTCGATACGTAAGCGCCTTAGTGGTAATTTTTACGTGCATGAATAACGACAGCGAAAATCCGTACGGGTTGAGTGATACATTTCTTATTTGTTATCTCTATCTGACTTGTATGGATTATAATTATTTCGCCCGCTCACTCGCCACTCGCGAGTCATTAGTTATAAAAGTTTAAGTTAATTATTGTCTCAGTCTGTCTCTCTCGCTCGTGGCTCAGTCGCCTCGCAAGCGACGCGTCGCGCGAAATGAGCACAGAGCAAAGTAATGATTCACTGTTCCAGATCCAAATGATGCATTTGAAACGTTGTTACTGAACCAATCTTTTGAATCACTTCAGTGATTCGGATCAGTGAGTCGGTTCCGTAAAGAGATACACACACCTAAGTGCGACGCACGTTGTTTGTTTTGTTAGTTGCAAGTTTGGATATTTTAATGTAAACACGTGGTATAATTAACAAAGGTTGTTTATTGCACTGTGTGTATGAATAATACTAGAATAAATAAAAATATATCATACTTTAACTATCCCAAGGAGTACTAGGCAAGTAAATATTTGATTAATACTTATTCAAGTACCTTTATTTTATTGTATGATCCTTTTTTTAATAAAAAGAGGGTACTACCTTTTTATAGATATTACAAGCTTTTACTAAGCATTTGTAGGTATGTGAGTGGGTTGTTATGTAGTAGGTATGTGTGTTAAGTATACATATTGCAAGTAAGATTTAAACCACTTCCCGATGTCTGATTGAGTTGAAATTTTGTATACCGTAACTTCAGTGATAATGCAATACTATGATAGGTATTGTTTTGTTTAATTTATCTTCACCTATTGTGACAACCCTACCAAAATAGGTAACAATTTTGCACGTTCTTTGCCTCTGTTCCGGTTATTTACTCATGTGATAATAGTCCGATTGATAGTCTAGAGCAGGAGATCCCAAACTTTTAAGTTATTGGAACACTCATCAAATCCCTTTTATTTTATGGAACCCTACATCAAATGATTACATATCATAGGTAGATCACCTACGTATCTAGATAACAGTAATGGATTCTTCACAAATTTTGCGCCAATTCAAAATAATATTTGTACCAAAGTGTGAAATTAGTTAAGAAATTAAGCAAAATAAATTATAATCTCTGGTCTAGAGTAGACCACCTTAACTTTAGTTACTTTTCCTTACTGTCCCTTTGTTTTATAACCATGCCTTTTACATCACACATACACACACAACACACACACACACACACACACACACAAACACACACACAAACCCACAAACCCAAGATCTCTCATTTCAATCACCACACATCATTATTTTAAAAAGTACTTTGCTAATCTTGTATCTCAAATTCCTTTAAACATTTTTAGAGTCTGTATAATATATTGCTTACAGTTGTCTTAATTGATATTTTAAGTGATAAAAACTAATATGTGTAAAAATGTAGTTATTCCAATTTTTATAAGTGATAAAATCACATAAAAATCTAAAAAGTGTATGCTTTGTTGTGGCTACGACAATAACTCTGTTATTCTCTACATTAGAAAACTTGTTTAGGGGATTTGGTAGAGCTGTCGGTGACCCACAACATTTGTTTCCACAAGATCTGGCATTTGTCACCAATTTTGTTACCAACATAATATTAAGTTTTACATATAAGCAAAAATTTAAGGTAAATATTTAATTTTATGTCATTATTCAAAATATGCTACAGAGCTAGGTGGTAGAACTCCTTTTATGCCTAGGTGTCTGTTTGTGTAGGTATCTCCATCTTGCCTATTTCTGTCACCAAATGACAGTGAAAACAACAGTGCTTGCACTTTTGTGTTCCGGTCTGAAAGGTGTAAAGAGCCAGTTTACAATAGCCAGTTGGCAGCCTGTGAGGCATTCAACTCTTCTTCTTTGTATGAGGTGGTTGCAGATGTCCATTGGCTGCAGTAGCCTCTTACCATCAATCACGTTGTCTGTGGGTTCGTTTGTCTTCGTTTTTTTTTTTAATGTTGCCATATTTTTATACGAAAATTACATGAAAATTTTGGAGCTATATAAGATTATTCATAGCAATTATGTGAATGTTAATTCCAATTATGTTGTAAAATTTTAATAACGGATGTATGAGTTTTGTATTACGGGTATAACCATTTAGTTCTAAGAATCATTTGAAATTTGAAATGTCTGTATTGTATCCACTGTGATCTTTTGTTTGCCGCCTTCTTGCTACTTAATTTTTAAGTTTTATTGATTTTGCACGTATTTTTGCATGTTCCGTTCGAAATAAATTGTTTACATTCATTATTCTTGGTATTTTTTTCTGATAAGGATATTGAAATAAAAAAAGTTTTTATGTATTTATTTATTACAAAAGTAATGATGAATACTGTCACAAGATCTCCAATAAGCTGACTTAACTTTATAAATTATATTTTTTATTTAGCATGTTATTAGAACAAAAGCCTTAAAGCATTTTAAGAGTTAACTAGCACAGCTTATTGCTGCTTAAATAAATGAAATGACAAAATTATATACAAAATCTCTGGTGTATGTATAAAAAAAATATGTATATCCACTTCAGATCTTGAAAAAAGATCTGGTCGGTCGAAACGATCGCAATTAAATGCAATCTTTATCCGTGTTTACAGGATAGTTTTTATTCCTACCTTATATCACATTACGATATTAAAGAAGGTAGGTAATCACAATGCCATAATTTTTGTATTTAACATGTTTTTCTTATATTTTTAAATTTATTAATTCTTACGTACCTATAACATATCTATTAAGTCTATGCGTCTTATTCTACATATTTTATGATGAATTTATAAACTAAGGGCCCAGACACATTCATCGCAGCTTACACTTATTGTGAAGGGAATGTAACCTTTAATTTATACTATTCTATCATAAAATATTTGAACTTGCAATAACCCTATTCTAAGTAGCGGCACGAAAGTAGCGGTGACCGTTATTGCGTATAAGTCGAAAATAAGGTATCATTGGGTAGTAAGCGGGTTATGGGGCGGGCGTGCGTAGTTCGCACGCGCTGATTGGGTCTCTAGTCGCATTCGTGCAATTCAATTGTGCGCGACAGTACCCATGCGCAGCTATCCCCTCCTCGTTTCGTTCAGCGCTAGACTTACGTGCCGCAACTTGTCCCTCCCCCTAGTCTTATTTAAAATCAACCATAATTAAAACCAGTTTAATATATGGTATGATCAAGGTTATATAATATGTAACAGATTAAATTCCTTTTAGGTAATTATTTGCATTTTTGTTTTCTATTAAAGCCCAGCTTCATATTCTCTTAAGCCATGGTCAATGTGCCTGCGCCCATACCGAACCCGACTCCCTTAGGTCCATAATTGCGGCCATAGCAGCTACGGCAGTAAATTTCTCCGTTGGGACCGTCATTCAGGTTTGTAGAATCCTGCAAAAAAAAAATGTTCAGATAATCATAAAGCAGAGCTCAAATTACTAACGTAAATTTTTGGGTTACTATATAACACTAGCTTTAAATTTCCAGAGTTCATCAGTTCACTATTGAAATAATCGTAGTTTTAAGTGATAGTTAAACATGTGTTCAGCAATATTATGAGGAAAGGATGTTGTCTGAAAAATTAATCGAAGTGAAGATCGCCAACACTCATGGCGCATAATATTCTTTCGTTCAAAGATGAAAATGAGAACTTATACCATTTTTGGTACACACGTAATGCTGTGCTGACTTGGATATACAAATACAGAGTGTACAATCATAATTACAGCCAGTAAGTCCACTGCTGAACATAGGCCAGAAGGGCCAAACAATGAGGGTTAATAATCTTCCGCTCACCAGAGACACTGACATGAACATAGACTTTGAATATACTGGCGTATTCTAAGTCTATGGACGTGAATCTTTTGTTACACAAAGTCATTTTACTGACAATTTAGTTATTAAATAAAAGTTACTCAGTTTCTAGAGTAATAAATTAATACACTAAACAATGCATCAGTGCTTTGCTCGTTACTTTTTATGAATACCTGTGGTTTGGTTTATTTATTTTTAATCTAATTAATATAAAATATAATACGGAAAGAAACATTACTTTTACATTTTTCTAAAAAAATGGGGTACCTGAAACTAGCCTCACTTTGATTTTATTTAAAACTCAAAAATAGAAAAAAATCTAAGTGGGGCTAGGTTAAATATTACACCTCATTTTTAAGTAGTGTAATATTTAACCTAGCCCCACTTAGATTTTTTTTCTCTGGTGGCAGAAAAATTCGTGGATGCCCGCAATGCTCGAATGAATTACATTTTAGTATTAGAGGGGACGGGATTCCCTTTATCAGCCCATAGACTGAAATCAGTAATTCGGCTGCTGTATGGAGTTCAAACCGTTCATTATTAAATTACTGCGTGATGGAACCGCTAAACTATGTTACCACGTCAAAAATCACTAAATTAACCTAGATTAGGCACAAAAAGTCAGCGCGCTAGAGTTTTCAAAAAGCGCTACATCTAGTGCCTGAAAGTGCAAAATAGCAGCACTCAAACGTGTAATTACACTATACTTTTTGATATTTATTAGGGATGTCTAATTCATGTCGATGAGTTAGAACCGATGAAAAATTCAAGTGATAGTTTATTTCGTTGGAAATATTTAATAGGTAAGTCTAATTTCGCTTTGATATGTTATATTTTGATCATTTATTAAAATTAAAAAATTCTAATGTTTAATGTTAACTGCAGTTCTTCTTGTAGTGAAGTGAAGTTTTGTTTTAATAAGCACCATAGTATTGTTTTTTGAATTTTAATCAGAATAAATGTTTGAAAAATTTACTGAACAAAACACGTCACACTAGGCTGTTTGAGCATAGATCCCTTTTAATAAATTAATTCCAAGAAAGTCATGAAGTGTATAATTAATATTGTAATATTATGTGTTGTGGTATTCAAAGATTATATTATGATTGAGCTACGTTTTATCCATAGGTTTTACCGGTACCAATTATTATTTTATTTATGGGTGGGAGTTTTATCTATTAACTATATAAGTAAAATGGCAATTCGGGTGTTTAGATTTAAAATAAGTACTTTTTTGGATTTGGCGGGAACTTGATCACCGCCGAATTTCTGTTTTTGTTTAATCGTCCTCAACTGCCAACTTGATTAAGTTATCGTCAAAATTTCCTAAAAACTTCGTAATGTAACGCATCAGCATAATTTTACTATCAGTATCCTTTCACTGTCCATAATTTTACTGTCTGAGTTCATTTTGAAATTCCGGACAGTTTGTTAGTGTTACCACTTGTTATTTAAAAATACTTAAACCTATATTTTGATATTTTGTTTAATTAAGCTTAGACAACGTATAATAAAATAAAATAGTCTAAATTGTATTATAATATTTTCTTATTTTTTTGACTTATCTTTTTAGTCGTATTCAAAGAAGAGGTTCTTTTAAATAGTAATTTGAATGTACTTTGTCACAAAAATTGTGTATTACGTGATATCTTCTTTTTTTATTAAATGAATTTTAATAGGACTACACTAAAGTTTAAAGAAATTTCCACCCGTATGGAAAGAATGATAGGAGATGAAATTTTGTTATAAAAAATATTGACTGGTAGAGAAAGCCATAAGGCATTAAGTCCGCCCATTGTAACACTTAGATTAAGGTGTAATACAATAGTTAATTAAATAAATAAATAGATTTAGTCCATAAATCTGCAGCACTGGACCTCTGACATGAAGCGTCAGTAGCCTAATGGCAGGGCGCGGACAGCGAACTCGAAAGGTCGTAGGTTCGAATCCACCATTCGACTAGTGTCGTGAACCACTTCTAACACAAGCATTTTAAGCTTACCAGAAGTGGTTAAAGGGAATATTAGTAAGGTTTAATAGCATTACTAGTATACGCACGATAGTACGCACGATACCGGTTGCACAATATTAATCATTACGTTTTACCGGTTACTCTGACCGTGAATAAAACGTAGTGATTATAAATCTATTCTACTCTTTGACCGTGTACATAGATATAGGGCAACTCATTAATCAATGGGACAACCGTGACAAAACCATGATAGGAGTTTTGGCGGGAACTTGAACGGTGGAGCATTCCTGCTTTTGTATTATTGTATAAATAATGGTTTGAAGTGGATTTTGATATGTAAAAGCGGTGCGATTATGTGTATTAAGTATCTGCGCATGTGAACTATTACTGTAAACTGAAACAAGTGATCTGATGGTGATGTGATTCTCAAGATAAGGTGTCTGTCTACTTAGGCGCCTTGAGATACCATCGCCAACTGTCAGCTGTCTCCTGGCTCAAGTTGCCGTCAAAATCGCCTTAGGTCTGCACAATGTGACGCATCAACATATTGTGAAGCAGTGCACTATGAAGGATAATATTATACTTTGTAACTTTAGGCTCAGAAAGGGTAGAACCCAGAGCCGTAAAGCCAGTTATAAAAAAATAAACCCTGATATGCTAGTGCTAGTGTTAGTGATGTCAAGAGTTTTGGCGGGAACTTGATCGGCGGCGGTTTGCTGCTCCTGTATTATAGTTTAAATAATAGTTTGAAGTGGATTTTGATATGAAAAAGTGGTGCGATTTTATGTATTAACTATCTACGCATGTGAACTATTAGTGGAAACGGTGAAACAAGTGCTCTGATGATGATGGATTCTCAAGATAAGCTGTTGGTTTGCATAGGTGCTTTTAGATACCATCGCCAACTGTCAGCTGCCTGCTGGCTCAAGTTGCCGTCAAAATCTTCCAAGGGCTGCACAATGTGACGCATCAACATATTGTGAAGCAGTGAACTATGAAGGATAATTATACATAACGACAAGGCTGTATGGCATAGTTCCTTTGCCTACTATCTCGAGCGAATAATAAAAACAACAGTTAGTGATGTCAAGTTGTCAAGAAAGATTAAAGAATAAATTCGTAAATTTATCAAAATATAAAGTTGATTGAAAAATGCATATTATGTATAAAATTTTTAAAAGTTTAATATTTTTCACACTGATTTATATGCAAAAATGTACAGCTGAATTTTCAACTGAGGATTGTGCTTCCCTTGGATTTATTAAAGCTAACCTGCTTTGCTCTTCATGCGACCAGCTTAAAGATTTTAGTTTAGATCAATTGGTTGATCATTGTAAGGAATGCTGCCATAACGACGACAGTGCACCAAAGGAGAAAAAATACGCTCGTGCAATACTGGAAGTTTGCACTTGCAAGTTCCCAGCTTATCCGCAAATTCAAGCATTTGTGAAGAGCGACCGGCCTACTAAATTCCCTAACTTGCAAATTAAGTACGTACGTGGATTAGACCCTATAATCAAACTCCTAGATAAAGACGGTATTGTCAAAGATACTGTCGCTATTGAAAAATGGAATACTGACTCAGTAGAAGAATTTTTAAATACGCATCTTGAGAAAGAAGAAGAAGATGATCGTAGTTATTTAAAAACTAACCAGATATAAGGTATCTTAAGAGAAGCTTTAACATCCTTATTGCAATGTATATTCATCAACAAAGATCAATTTTATCAACCTACTATTAATTTTATTTCAAACTTACAAGAGACTTGTGGCAATCTGCACATGAGAAACATCGCCTGTGCCATGTGCCATTTTTGGAGTGCATTTGTTCAGCAGCATAGACTGGGAAGCCACAGCGTGGGCAGCCCTGGCCTTTAGCTGCTTTCTGACCCGTGAATGGAAACTGTTCAGCGCTGTAAATAAAAATAAGTATATTTCAATACTGGTAATTTTAATTGTATTTTTCATAGTAGATATTTTACAAAAAAAATGAAATATATCTGTAAATATGCAATAAATTAAGAACACTGAATATTTTTTTTATTTTACCAGTAGGTACAATCAAGAATATCTAAAATAGTAAATAATACTGTCCTGGTTTATTATTATTTTATAATTGATACATAATTCAATCAAGGGATTTAATAAGTTTTTTTTTAAGATGTGTTTACTTTTTAAAAGGTCTTGAAACAATGCTCATACTATTCCAAGGTTATTGAATGTCATTGTTAGTTATATTCTAACCAAAAAACTAATTTAAAAATGTGTCACAATAAAAAAGTTTACAAAAAACTAGTAAGAAATTGAAATATATTTTTTTTTAATAAGATAGTTTTCATTCCATGAACAAAAGTATGATGCTATACCTATATTTCAATATGAAAATTTACTTACTATCTGTTAGTAACATCGGTGTCTGTTGATACAAGTGTTGGGGCATGACCATAACCAAAACCTCTTGGTCCAAACAGCTTAGCATAACATGCACGGCAATGGATCTCCTTGTCAGGGCCATCACAAGCCAGCATGGAGTCCAGTGGACGATGGCACTCAGCACAGTTGAAACATTTCTTGTGCCACATCTATGTAAAATGAGATATATTGATTATGCAATATCACTATATTTTTTTAATTAATTATCATATTAAAATAAGATTAACAATTAAGTAAAGAAAAATGAAAATAATGTTTTGCCTTGAGATCAATATGTAGCAGGTCTTTGATTCAAAACATAGCTATAACTAAATGATATACAAAATAACAATATGTTGGTTTTCAGGCACGGTGGACACTTCTTTACCATAAAACTCTTAGATATGGCTGTAACTTTACTTTTATACTTTATTGTATTCAAAAGCAAAGCTCAGATCTTATGGCATTAGCACGAAATATATGAAAAAAAATCTAGGCTTGGCTAAGGTATCCAAGTCAACCTCTGATTTGTGTGTATAAACATTATTACTTTATATGCAGGTTATTTAGTACATTATGGAAATTACATGATTTGTAGGAACTTTTTGAATTAAAATTACTGTATGCATTACAACAAATTAAGAAACCTACAAAAAAAAGGTGTTAGTCATATAGTACCAGATGTTCATACCATAATGTTGATTTCTATCTTTGATCTGATTATTTTTACATAAAATGAAAGTATTTGATTACTTACAGTTCCCTTAGCCAATTGTTGCTCAGCAGCGAACACCATGCCACCGCATCGTGGGCAGCCTTGGCCCTTTGGCGCTTTAATGCTGGTCGTATCTGGGTTGTAGTATGGGCGGTTTGCAGAGATCTCGTCCTCACTGTTATATGAATAAGTATTTAAGGGAAAAGCAGTCTGAAGTCAATTAGCTACACCTACATTATATTGCATGTTCAAATAATTTTTATATCTTTTTAAAACATTTTATTTTTTCTATAGTATTATCCATAGTGGTATAGTAGTGTTATAAGAACAGAACTTCTATTTTTACAAAAGAATGCTGTTTTGATTTACTTTAATGAAACTACTCATTATGACTATGTTGACTAATATAATAATTAGACATGTGTCATTCATTAATTTCTAGTGACCTGATCATTCAAGTATTGATATGTCTTACAAACTTGGTCATCCGGGTCGGTCATTCCCATGGATCACTTCGAGTTTCAGTAGTCTGTGACCTTTGAGATCTGTAATGTCGGTTGTCCGACATTCCTGTCAATCATTTGTTCCAGACCTTTCAAAAATATAATTGCAATCGTCAATCCTTTGATGTGACCCAGGTCAAATGAACAAATCATTCACGATTGACACATGTCTAATAATGATGATGCAGTGATTCAATTAAAATAAATAATAATGTAAGTTAAACATAATTGTTGTTGCATTGTAATATTTGAATTTCGGTCACGGCGACCAGTCGCAACATGACAGTATTATAGTGTGCGCAAGCACAGGTGCCGTGCTGACACGCCTGGAGAGAATTAACCTGCTTTTTGTGGCAAGCGGGTAAAACACCGCCAACTTCCTGCTACAGTCTGCTCCTGAGAATTTTTTGACAGGAAAACCCAAAAGCTCATATTTGCCCCGACCTGGGTTTTAAACCCGCTACCTCATTAACAGCAGTCGCGCTTACGATCACTCAACCAACGCAGTCGGCAGTCCCATTTACTTACTCTAACCATATACTTATCAAAGTTTAATATGACTTACGTCAAGCCGTCAGTTTGTAAGAATCCAGAGCCGCATGCAAATCCATATCCGTGGGGGCCCCACTTCTTGCCATAGCAGGTCTTGCAGTACACATCAGAGTCTGGACCGTCGCAGGCGATAATTGAGTCAAGTGTCTTCGAGCAGTCGTGGCACTTGAAGCACTTACGATGCCATTCACGGCCCTTAGCCAAGACCTGTTCTGCTGCGTAAACGACGCCACCGCATCTTGGGCATCCTTTGCCCGGTGGAGCTTTGATTATAGCAGTATCTATTACCGTTGTTTTAGGCGCGTAGTCCCTACAAGGTATAGAATTATTATAATAGAAGTTTTTCTGAAATAGATGCAATAGTTAATTTAGTAAATAGTTAAAAAAATTTGGTTATATGCATAGATATAGCAAGCAGTTTATACTGAATCTATGATTATATGTATGTATATGTTTACATAAACAATAACTACTATTTAGAAAACTAGGATATATCTACATAGCTAACCATTTATTGTAAATTAATAATATAATTTCGTTATCCGTTCTGTTTTCAGTATTGATAGTTTAGATAGCAAAACTATTTGTGTGTATGAGCGCAAAGTACTTCAACATGCGCTTTGTCCAAAAAACTCATTTCCACACCACTATGAGGTAGAGTAAGTGACGCGTTTTTTTATCGTGGTCTCCCCAGTACTCTTAATCTACATGTAATGAACTATTCTTCAGATGACATCATCCAAAAAACACGTAAAGTTACAGGCATAATTGACTCAATCTCTTGAAAAAAAAAAATTAATGTAGGAAAATAGTAGTTGGGTGAATATTCTCTATTTTCAAAACTCCCGGAAATCTTTCCAGGTAACCTCTTTTATCAGCACCAAATAACTACTATTTCAAAGGTATTTAAAAGTCGTGTTAAGATTTTTTACTTTTAACTTCTTTTGCGTTAACAGTCTTAATTATTTATAATAATTTCTTGAGATAATACATTTTTTTTTATAGGAGAGGGGGCAAACGAGCATGCGGCTCACCTGATCGTAAGTGACTACCGCCGCCCATGAACAGCTGCAACACCAGGGAGGGAATCGCAGATGCGTTGCCGGCCTTTTAAAAATGAGTACGCTCTTTTCTTGAAGGTCCCTAAGTCGTATCGGTCCGGAAAAATCGCTGATCGTAATCGATTCCACAAGGAAGTCGTGCGAGGAAGAAAACATCTTCTAAATCGCACAGTGGTGGACTGCCAATCATCCAGATGGTGTGGATGGTATCGGGAGCTCTGCCGCGATGTGTGTTCGTGAAATTTGGCGGCTGGGATTAATCCGAACAATTCTTCAGAGCACTCCCCGTGGTAGATGCGAAAGAAAATGCAAAGGGATGCAACATCTCTTCGCAGTGCCAATGAATCGAGCCGATCGGAAAGGACTTGGTCGTCGACGATTTGAGCCGCTCTGCGCTGGATGCCGTCAAGTGGAAGGAGCTGGCACTGGGGAGCGCCTTCCCAGAGATGGGAACAGTATTCCATGTGAGGCCGAACCTACGCCTTGTAAAGTTGCAGACGGTGTGCCGGCATGAAATACTGTCCCGCTCTGCTGAGCACGCCAAGCTTTTTAGAGGCCAATATGGCCTTCTCTTCCAAGTGACCACGAAACTACACGTCACTCGATATGTCGACTCCGACTTCCGATACTGGCTGAGGCAAGAAGGGGAGTGCCTTGAAACTGAGGAGATACGACAAAGGGGTTTTTTTTAGCGGTAAACGCGCAAACTTGTGTCTTCTGAGGATTAAACTGGACTATATTTAGTCGCCCCCAATCCGAGACTTTGTTCAACAAAGACTCTACTTCAGACACAAGTTTGTTCCGGTACTCGGCGACGTTTTCCCGAGAAATATTGGCACGGCCGGTGTATAGAGCATCACCAATGCTGTCATCCGCATAGCAATGAATGTTACCAGTTAGCAACATATCATTGATATGCAGAAGAAACAGCGTTGGTGATAGCACACAGCCTTGTGGAACACCAGCGTTAATAGGCTTGTAGTCGGAGCATGCACCGTCTACAACGACCTTGATGCTCCGATCTGCAAGGAAGCTGGTGATCCAATCGCACAATTTCTCGGGAAGCCCATAGGAAGGGAGCTTCGAAAGAAGCGCTTTGTGCCAAACCCGATCGAAGGCCTTCGCAATGTCCAAACTAACGGCCAACGCCTCCCCCTTAGACTCTACTGTCTCTGCCCAACTATGGGTCAGGTAGACCAGAAGATCACCAGCTAATCGACCCCGACGAAAACCGTATTGGCGGTCACTAATCAGCTGGTGATCCTCAAGGTACCGCATGAGCTGGCAGTTAATAATTGATTTTGGAGAACAAGGAGGTGATCGCGATAGGCCTATAGTTGGACGGGTCTGAGCGGTCGCCTTTTTGAGGGATCGGGTGGACAAAAGCTGTCTTCCATGAATTCGGGACTACGCCTTGGGAGTAGGAGTACCGGAAAAGACGCGTTAGGACTGGTGCCAACTCCGGAGCACACGTCCTCAGCACAATTGAGGGGATTCCGTCAGGCCCTCTCGAATGTCCAGGGAGAGGAGTGCTTTGCGAACCGAACACTGTGAGAACAGCACATCCAGCATGGAACACTCACAACGCGGGATGGTCGGCGGTGTTTTCCCCCCCGTCATCAAGAGTCGAGTTGGACGCAAAAAGGGAGCCTAAAAGGTCGGCTTTGTCTTTTGCGTCTTGGGCCAGTGAGTCGTCCTCCCTGTGCAGAGATGGTAGTGATGGCTTACAGAAATTCCCTTGGACAGCCTTGGCGAGAGACCAGAATGCACGGGTTCCCGAAGGAAGGCGAACTAGTTTCTCGCCAATTCGCTCAATTCCGGATCAGACAATGGTCCGAAGAGCCGAGAGGGGCATCGACGGAAACCTGATATCCGTCCGGATGAGAGGTCAGCAGAAGGTCCAACAGGGAAGGTGTATGATCGTCCACATCTGGAATCCGCGTAGGCGAAGTAACCAGTTGTGTCAGACCATATGCCAAAGCAAAGTCATAAACAGATCTCCCCGCATGATCGGTTAAACGTGAACCGAGCCATTCGGCGTGGTGGGCGTTAAAATCGCCAAGGATTACGATCTCTGCGAATGGGACCTGTTGTAGCAAAGAATCTGTAGCCATTTGGACGTGGTCAATGAGTCGGTCTGTTTCGGCATTAGCGCTATAGGACCCATAGAGGCACCCGTAGACGCGCAGATGGTCGTCGCTGTCTACGCGTAGGCATAGGATGGACAGGTCCGAACCTTCAAGACTGCCGAGGCGTCGAGAACAGATGTCCTCTCTGACATACACGCAAACTCCAGCCCGAGGCACAAAGGAGTGCTCCAATTTGTACCCCGGGTAGGAGAGATACGAAATATCAGCCGGAGAGCAAACCTGCGTCTCGGTCAGAAAGAGCAAGTCCGGCTTCGCCGTCTCGAGATGGTAGTGGACGGCGTTTAGGTTCGAGTGAAGTCCCCTGATGTTGCAGAAATTCACGGATAGCGTAGCAGGGGTCGCCTTGGTCTTGTTGCTCTGTTTACCCCGAGCAGTTATGTTTTTGAGCAGAATTTTTCCCCCCCGAATACGCGGGACAGCCTGAGCACCCACGTTCAGGAGTGGAATAACATGGTCGTGGATGCTCAGCGAGGGATTCTCCAGGGGTACTGGTACTCTCCTGGGGTAGTCTAACGTGTAATTCCGCTACCATGTTGATGTTGAGGTCGTGGTACCCACCCAGCTCGAGCCGGCCCATACGTGCAATAGCAAAAACTGCTGCGTGGCTCTACCACCGTTAAAGATTTACTATTAGTCCCTTATCAACTTGTGTATCCTATAACATATATATTTCTATATTTTACAGTATACAGTAAAATGACATTATTATTTAGTAACGTAATATGGATTTGTTTTATAAATTGTTTGCGACCGTCTGTAACGTCTTAAAAAAGATAGATATATAAGAAAATGTTATGCAAGTATTAGAATGTCATAATATAAATAAAACACCTAAATTGAATTTAAGCTCAGTTGTATGGCTCGTCTTTCTTGCCCGCTATAAATTAGTCTGTGCGAGAGTGGAGAGGATGTTCTATTTTGAAACTGGCACGCTGCCAAAACTTGTTTGTATTATAAGCTGTTTTTATGAAAGTGACTATACGATGGAAATAATCTAAACCTGTCTTGTAATATGAGAACTTCAACACCTAATAAGTGGCTTGTGGAAAAACAGTGGCCAGGCTTTCAGTATGAAGCAGAAAATTGATATGTGCACGATATAATAAGTCATGCTGAAACGCACACGATGCTTTAAAAATATTTATTTTGTTTATTAGGTACATATTTTGTAAAAACAGAAATACAAGGTCCACTATCAGTTTCCACACTTGGTACTTTTAATTTCCAGGCGTTGTCTAATTTTCCGTTTAAGTGGTATTAGATAATATGTAACATAAAATATTTAAAATTGGTACTTACCCATTAGCGTAAGGATCGCTCTGCAGAACGCCGGCTCCTTTTCCATAACCATATCCCTTAGGACCAAACTTCTTTGCATAACATACTATGGAAAAAATATTTAATTAAATCCACCATAAACTTTATGCGAGTAGTAAAATAACAACTGAATGTTGTAGCTTTATATTCTTATTAAAATGTCTTATTTATTTAACTAACATATTTAAGTAAGAACTCTATAAAATGAAAATGAAGGAACGAACCTTTGCAGTAAATATCTTTGTCCGGACCCTCGCAACAGTTTGTGGAGTCCAGCCGTTTTAAGCAGTCGCCGCATTTGAAGCACTCCTTGTGCCACGCCTGGACACACAGTGAACAATGAGGGTATGTTGGATGAGCCATGCAAGAAGAAAAAAACTGGGGGCAAACTGTTATCACAATAACACCGACGGTTAAAGCACAAACTGCTTTACATATAGGATACTTTCACTTGGAAAGTCAAAGTTTAAATACCTCGACAATATATCTCGTTATCTGGCCCATCACAATGCGTCATTGAATCAAGGATCTTGTGGCAAGTTAAGCATTTGAAGCAGTGCTTGTGATAGCCCTACGATACAACACTTTGTTTATATTCTTGTTATATGCTCCTTATATAAAGGTAACGCTGCTAAAGCATATATCTAAGGGAGTTTTTATTGGTTATAATTAGGTCACTACATAAATAACGTGCCTCCTTTCCATCCGCTCAGTCGTGGAAGCCGGCGGTTAACTTTTGGAAAGCATTTAAGAGAAGTTAAGATTATGCGATAGAAAACTCACCCTTCCGCGAGCTAACATTTGCTCGGCGGCATACACGCAGCCGCCGCAGCGCGGGCAGCCCTCTCCGGGCGGGGCCTTCGCAATAACACGAGGTTCTAAACAGGCTCCATTGGTCCTTACGCCCCTGCACATATGGCTCGTGTCATTCGCTGCCCGACAGTAGCCCGGTCGAGCAACGATGACAGAAGATATGTTAAAAGCAATCGGGCGTCGGAGCTCTCCAATCACCCCTATTAAATAGCCCACACGGATCTCGGCGAAGCGATTATCGGCGGCGCACCTCCGCCGTAATGGGAGAAGGTAAGGCTCCCGGCCGCCCGCTCCGCACCGGCTCGCTATACAGATTATACATCGACATCACATAGAGGGCGCTTTCCTTATCCCATCACATGTTTTAGCTCCAATTAAAGCTAAGACAAGCGTTAGCTGGTTGTTAGCGAGGATCAGTAATGCAGAAAGTTACGAGATAGAAAACAGTGTCACGAAACAATGTCATGCCTTAGGGTGCGTCTGGAGCGTAGCGAAGCCGTGCTGAGGCTTACAAAATGGTTTTCTCACCGTTGCTTCGCTGCGTATGGTCGCCCAGATAGGGAAGGGGATAGTCAGAGCTAGAGAGCGCACGAGTCGGCGCGAGCGTACCCTCGTCAGCATCTCGAGCCCGCGCCGGCTCGGTCGCACTCAGACTCATCAATGCAACTAACTCAGTATTGGTGGTCGACTGTTTTATTTATTTTATATAAATTATAAATATTAGACCGATAAACAAAATAAATTAAGCGATAGCGAATAAATAATCCTAACTAAAGTATTTTAAGGTACAGTGGGCGTTCGCGAAGCGTCGCTGGTTGGCCGAGATGTGTGTCGGCGACCCGATAGCTCTGCTGGACGGCTGCTCGCGATCAATTCCTGTTGCGACATAAACGGAGACTGGTCATGCACGTGTCAGGCGACGCGAAATGTACAGCCGAGCGCGCGCTTACTATTTTCTAAAGTTTATATACACGCTGTTAATGTTGTTACGTACGGGCCCAAAGGCCGGTCATTGTGTCGACCATAGATAAGGAAAGACCCTCAGTGGCGCGGGCGGCGGGAGTGCGAGGAAATTATGTACTTACGCATTTTCGCCCTTCAGGTGGTCGCCGGTGTCCATGGATAGACATCCTGCACCACCGCCGAAACCGTATCCTTTAGGTCCGAATTTGCGTGCGTGACAAACTTTGCAGAAAAGTTCGCCTTCGTGTTCCGTGCAGTTGGTCGAATCAAGCAACTTCTGGCACAGGCCTAAAATATAAAACGACATTTAAAACTAACTGCTTTAATTGTGTAATAATTAATATGGGAATAAAATAGAATTAAGACATTATCACCGAAATTAATACAGCCAGTCAGTCACAAGGCCACTGCCGAACATTAGCCTCACGGGATGCCTTAAAGCACGGCGCTGAGCCATCTACACCTATCGACTTTCTCCATGTCTTAAGAGGTTACGCCTAGTAGTAGGGGGTCGACCTACACTTCGACTACCGGTACGAGGCTGTCACTTGAGAACCTGGAGGGTCCATTGGCACTTCAGCTTACTGATGCGTTTGGATAAGTCGGTTACTCTGGTTCTACTGCGGATATCCTCATTACGTACGAAGACTATCACGCAGAAAAACTCTGAAAGTAGCTTTCTCCACTATATCAAAGATGGAAGATTATTTTTATCTTGGATTAATTGATAAAAACAAACTTGTAAAATGTCTTGAGCGTTTCAGCTAATAGTCTGGTGGAATGCCTACGACCAACTTCAAAAGGAAGAATGCCAATAATATATCGTCAGTCGTCACGATTGATTATTTATATGAAATGCCTTGCAGCCCGTTATTACAAGTGGCCGTCATACCTCGAACCGGAACAAATCAGTTTTAGGTCCCAGAATTTATTTTTTATATTTTTTTATTATAAAATAACGTTGAATGACACGAATTCTTGTTTTTTACTTCGACAGAGTTTTTGAGTTTTGTTATGATCGGTCTCGTGCCTCTGGTATTGCGTCCTGGGGTGGCTGACTCCAATATTATCGGAAAAACGTTACATCGGGCACGGTTAGTTTGGAAATTATGTCGCTTTGCTAGCAGAGAAGTAGATAGCTTGCTATCTTGTTCAGAAGTTATCGCCGTGTTTCTTCATCAGCCTGTGAATGTTCTTAGCTGACCGCTACAATTTTCGGAAGGATTTGACTTAATCACGCTCGGCAGGCGGGTAAACCTACTGTTCTGGGTATTTTACATCTGGCGTAAATAAGGTGGTATCGGAAGCTATAAAAATATCTGGCATTCCCCATTGTAATTATGATTTTATTGTATAATATATTTTAAGAGTATAATATACTTATATCCTATATAGCTGGAAGAGCTGCTAAGTACTGCCATACAATTTTGGTTCATAGGCAATTTTATATCTACTTAAAATACAATTTAAGAAAGCATCCAAGCGAAAGTAGTCTAATGTTTTGGGTACGGACTGCGAAGCTATTAAGTATTGGGTTCCGCCATTCTATTGGTACCGCTTTTAGCACTAGTATTTTCAGACAAGTTGGAGTATTGTACGAGAATACTACAGTAATTCTTAGTGTTGCTAGTACTTCTTTAAATAGTTCGTGTTCGTTTTTTTAATTGATGTCCTGATGAATGAAATATTAATTTGTTAAAAGCGATAATATTTTTAAGTTATGGTTTCGTAGAACGTGTGCCATGCTGCAGCTATATTAGTAGTACAGTTGTAGCACGAATGTGTCGGCTCGACCGGCGAAGGACCACGCTCTCATAGAATACCAGCGTAAAATAGCAGCTTAATGCTGCTGTGTTTCGTATGGTGAGTCTAGAGAACCGGAGACCCTTTTTACTGGAAAAGAGGCATTCTATCTTAGTCCTCACGTCTGACAACGCATCTGCATTTTAATTCGCAAACGAAGATAGATGTAGATGTCTATTGGCCACAGCAATCACTTATCATTAGGTGGACTGTGTGCTCGTTTGTCACCCTTATTCTATAAGAAAAAATAATCTGTGTAGTGGCGGTGTAAGAATACTCACTACTCCATATCGTCCCGTGGGTCTGAGGTGAAACAACTGAGGGTATTTGAAACAGGTGATGGTCAGCAGCATTTTCTTGATAACAACTCAAAAAAATAAAAAACTGCGGCTGCCAACCCGACTGCCAAGCGTGGCAACTATAGCAAAGTTCCCTATGTGGCATCAATAGGTGAGGCCTATGTTCAGCAGTGTACTTTTATAGGCTGTAATGGATGTATAGATGGAATCTGTGATTAATTAGTTAAAAATATTTTGTGGTCTTCTTAAATGATTTCTAAAAGATATGAACTTATTAAGTAAATCTCGTTATAATTTTGGTTTGTCTAATTATATAAAGTTTACTGACCGCATTTGAAGCACATCTTGTGCCATTTGAGTCCGCCTGCGACACGTTCTTCCGCCGCATAGACGGACTTGCCGCATTTCGGACACTTCGGGTTGTCTACTGGTTTGAAAGGCATTGTGCTCGCTTAACTTATCCTGCAAACAATTAATGTTAACATTATTAACTTGACGTCTACTTTTAATTTTAATTAATTTTAATCTAGTTTCCTTTTTTTTTTTGGTTTTCAACTTTATTCGAGGACTTGTATACTTTATAAATATAGATGTGATTTGTGGATATAGTCGCTTATGTGTGTAGGCGACTTGATAGCGATCCTTGGCACAGACTTAAAATCGGCTTTCTCAAAAACAGAAAAAGCACTATATCGTTCTACCACAGTATAGTTATTTCGCAAGACACTATTTTATGGAAAATATACACAACGCGATGTAATCCTCCAAAGCTCTGACATAATACGTTATATTTAACGCATCGCCAGTTGGCCGAAATCCAAGTCGCCTGCAACACTTCAATTGCCTCCGAACTGACACTATTTCTCAATAAGCACATGTTACCGGGCGTTGTGTTAGTTACGCTGGCTCCTTCCGAATGCTACGAAAATTTCAAAGACCGTTACGGCACAGGGCGGGCTGCGCGTGGGCCGTTGCTCCGGCGCTCCTAATTTGGGACGTCCAGGTAAAGTTACGCTACTGGAATTGCAGTGCACTTCTATTTATAGATCGCATAAGGAAGAAGCCATCGATTCACTCGCGATTTTGTTATGATAATGGATTCAATAACACTTTCACCACCTGTTCGTCGAGTCGCAACGAGAGTCGGGCTCCCGGACGCGTTTACAGTACAGGGCGTTGGTGCCTAGACTGCGGTGCGCGGAGGTCGAATGATACGCGAGGGCCGAGCGCCAGCGTAGTCTATACGCTGGTTGCACACGGCCCTAGTGGGGGGGAGAGCGGCCGCCCTCGCCACCGCCTGCGCGCACCCTAGCAGACCCACCATCCTGCACGCTGGAACCTTTACACGTACAAAGCTTCCTCCAGAATCTGGAATCAAGTTTGTCATATCAGATAATATCTGATATAAACATTATATATCGTCGGTATAGAATTGCTATTGCCGTGATTAAGTCATAAGTAATGATGATGATTTTTTAATCATTACATAGGTTCAAACAATTTGTATTGTTGTGTACAGTTTATTTACTCTATGTATTTAAGTTAAATACATAATGTGTGACTGACAGTACATTTGTTTACATTAATTCAATGTTGATTCATCGGTGGCAAACGTAACGCATATTTTGATTATCTCTTTAACATAGAAATCAATTGCTGTCCGTTAGTCTCGCTAAAACTCAAAAACATCTCGACCGATTTTGATGATTTTTTTTTATAGGATAGGGTGACAAATGAGCACACAGTCCACCTGATGGTAAGTGCTTGCAGTGGCCCATAGACATCTACATTTATCCTCGTTTGCGAATCAAAATGCAGATGCGTTGTCACCCGTGAGGATTAAGATAGAATGCCTCTTTTCCAGTAAAAAGGGTCTCCGGTCCTCTACACTCACCATACGAAACACAGCAGCCAACTGCTATTTGACGCTGGTATTCTGTGAGAGCGTGGTCCTTCCCCGGTCGAGCCAATCCATTTGTGCTACAACTATACTACTAATATAGCTGCAGCATGGCTCTACCACGTAAATATTGATATTTTGTTTGTGTTTAAATGGGTCCTTAGTTTAAATTCACATCTGGACCCGGTAGGGGGCTTTGTCGAGATCCAGCAATCACCCGTGAGAAGTCGGAGCGGATCACTAGTATATTATATAAATGTCTGAATTTTTTTAATATCTTTATATAGGTATAAAAAATTCTTCTGCCCGTATGTATGACTGAAGTTCTAAACGGCTGGACCGATTTTGATAAAATTTTGTGTAAAGAGATTATTGAAGTTGTGTTAAGAATTGTGTGAAGTTGATTCGAGAATGGTTTAGATACATTTGGACCCCGTAGGTGGCGCTGTTGTCGAGATTCAGAAATCTCCCGCGCGAAGCCGGGGTGGATAGCTAATATAATATATGATAATATTATTGGATATTTATTTAGTCTGGTTGGGACTAGACTCTCTCAACTCGACGAGAATGTCTAGTTGAGAATGTCTAGTCCCAACCAGACGGAAGCCAGCAGGGGGGACCAATCGTCCAAGGATTGGAGGGTAAGGATGGACGATATGGGCGGTATCGAGGAGTACCTCCTGTATTTGAGCCCGTAGCGGTCAGTCAGGGAGTCTCAGTCATCTAATATGAGCGAAGAGGCTTACGGAAATTAAACTTTTCGTAAAAACTTCTACAGGAACAATTCCGGTCGGATAACCACTCTGCAGTTTGGTCATCTCATGAGCCAGGTCCGGATATTTTGTATTTTTAACTGTTTCGGCTTTTAAGAGATTCTTGTTATATGGATTAGTAATGTTAACCAAAAATATCCTTAACTGTGTCCGGTCCATTACTACAATGTCAGGTTTATTTGCAAGAACAGTATGTTGAGCTTGGGGTGTAATAATCGGGCACGGCGTCCAGCAAGTACTTATAATAAGGCCATTTCCAAACCACGAGACAGTACTTAAACGCGGGGTTCTAATGTAGAAAAGCTCCTAGTGTCTCCTGTATGTGTGTCCTGGCTACAATTAGGTTGTGTTTGTGCACACAAGTACTCAGATTTAAAAAAAAAACGCCGAATCACCGGAGATGAAATGCCTAGGAGTCTCTCGGTAGATATCGACAGTACCATACTTTAGGATGTATATTATAATATATATCTTCACTTTATCTTTTATTAACTTTCTTCTGCGTAGCATTGAAAGGAAGTTAATGATTTTAGCTGGCAGTCTGTTAGTCTGTATGCCGACACGATAACTTCCGTTACACTGGACCGATTGACTTTAAATTTGGTATGTGGATACCTTGAGGTAGTAGCTCGGTCGAATTTGAATTTGGGCCCTGTAGGTCAAAGGGCACCAGAGATATGGGATTCACGCAGAAAGAAGTTGGTTTTCTTAAATTTACATTCAACTCGTTATTCTTAGATACTACTTTGGGACAATTTCCTTAGAAAGGCCTTAACGGCAAGATTCTAATGAAAAATGTGAACGAAATAAGTCTTTGAATAAAATAATTTTACGGATTTTATCGCGTTTAATTTTACTATACCCATACCACTATAGCCTATAAAAGTCCACTACTGAACATAGGGCCTCCCCCATAGATTGCCTCATAAGAGGATTTTGCCATAGTTGCCACGCTTGGCAGGCAGGTTGGCAAAAGCAGTTTTTTATTATTTTGAGTAGTTGTCAGGAAGATGCTGCTGCCCATCTCCTGTATCAATTTCCCTCTATCGCCTCTATCGCCTCTTACGAAACTTACGGGACGATATGGGGTAGTGGATATTCTTACACGGCCACTCCACGACCGTTAAATTTACTTATTTTTAATTCCCATTCGTCCCAACGTCGGGAAGTAAAAATAAGTAAAATGAAAATGAAATTATTTCGCCTTGTGCTTCCCCAACTCAATCCATTTTTATTTAAGACTGGTTTTTATAGAAATATGCTAAATAACTAAAAATATTCAACAAACAAGTCCCTTAAAAATGCTTCTTCATAAAAGCATAAAATCTATACCTACACTATGTGTATCAACTGTGAGTCGATTTCAAATCAGCTTCTAAATGGTTTTATCCTCTGATTATAGGTATATTTGATTTTTAGCATGAATTTAACGATGGAATTTTTTGTATGAATCTAACGATGAATTTTTTCTCTCGAATGGATTCAAATTAAAAACTATTGAATCTAACTATAAACTATGAAAACTATCGACAAGAAATTTACAAAGGTCGGAAGTAGTAGCCCTGATACCTATAACGTTTCAGTGTAATAATATAACGATTACAAACATTATTTTTTCTTAATCCATGCGGACGATGTCGTGGGCGAACTTATTACGTTGTTACAAATACACTTGTGGTATAATGTGTAGAAGAGATATATTTTTATAGAATAAGGATGACAAACGAGCTCACAGTCCACCTGATGGCTTACCATACGTGGATGCTACGTCGTGGATTCCGTACGTGAATGCTGTGGTTCATAGACGTACATTTATCCTCGATTAAGAATCAAAATGCAGATGCGTTTATCAGCCCTGAGAATTAAGATGAAGTGCCTGCTTTCCAGGAAAAAGGACCTGTATAAAGTATTTAATAATAGATTCAAAAATATTTTATTTTAAATCATATTAAATCTCATACTACCTTATCTTACATCGCATTATAGATCAAATTAGTTGTGTAATTTTATGAAAGTAATGTTTTCCGTCATAAACTTTTTAATTTAGTTAGTATTGCTGTAACGTGCGTTTTTATGCGTACGACTCCTAAAGTAACCAAGAAGAAGAGTTTATAAGTGGTAGAGCCATGATGCAGCTACATTAGTAGTATAGTTGTAGCACGAATGGGTCGGCTCGACCGGGGAAGAACCACGCTCTCACAGAATACCAGCGTCAAATAGCAGCTTAACACTGCTGTGTTTCGTATGGTGAGTGTAGAGAACCGGAGACCCTTTTTTACTGGAAACGAGGCATTCCATCTTAGTCCTCATGGGTGGCAACGCATCTGCACTTTGGTTCGCAAACGAGGATAAATGTAGATGTCTATGGGCCACAGCAACCACTTACCATCAGGTGGACTGTGTGCTCGTTTGTCACCCTATACTATAAAAAAAAGTTAGTTGTATTAAACATTTGGCTTAAAGATTAGAACTAAATTAAATAAACACTTTTTTTCAAGTCTTAGTTTCGATGTTTAACCGGATTCAATAATCATCATCATCAATAACATTACATTAACGATGTTAAAAAATCAACTAGTTTAGATCCGCGTAATAAAATAAAATGATGTGTCTTACCCAGTTTGAAGATCACATCCCGCCTTGCCGTGTAGTGGCGGTCAAGAATATCCACTACCCCATATCCTCCCGTGGGTGTCGTAAAAGGCGACAAAGGGAAACAGGCAGGGGATGGGCAGCAGCATCTTCCTGATAATAGCCAAATTACAATAAAAAAACTGCGGTTGCCAACCCGCTCGCCAAGCGTGGCAACTATGGCAAATACCCCCCTATGAATGACAGTAAGAAAGAAACGGCCCCCAGTCCCCGGCGGCCCCGCTATTCCTGGCTACGGTGGCGACCATGGTAACGGCGGGGCAGGGGGTGCTAAGAATCTCCGGTGGAGGTTCGGTTGCCACCTTAGACGACTCGACCTGGCAACGTACAACGCACGCACCCTGAGGACTGACGAGAAGATCGTGGAGCTGGAAGAAGAGATAGACAAGTTGCGCTGGCATATTATAGGATTATCCGAAGTCCGAAGAGAGGGGGAGGACACGGTAATCCTCGAATCCGGCAACTTGCTCTATCACCGGGAGGGCGACCATCTGTCCCAAGGAGGTGTCGGATTTATCGTCCACAAGTCTCTCGTTAACAACGTTGTAAAGATCGGGAGTGTGTCGACGAGGGTTGCGTACCTTATACTCAGAAT